TTGTCTGTCATTTTTGAACCAATGCCCTGGAAGATGGTGTGCGTGACATCCAACCCCAGGGCTTCCAGCATCCAACAATGCTACCACAGCTGGTACCTCATGAGCCTTTGGGGACTATCTGATACCAGACTTCCCGGTGGGAATAATACTTGGGTTGACCTTGACCTTGGCAGGGTGTCTTCCTGTCTGTCACCTTTTCTCGGCTGTCAGGAGCATGCTCAGCCACATTTACACTCACAGCACCTAGCACAGCTCTTCAACATTGTAGAAACCTGTATATGTGTTTTCCAGATGACTAAAGAGGAAAAAAAAAAAAAAAAGCAAACCCAGCAGTCTGCCGTGTGCAAAGCTAGTGGACCCGAGAGGGTGCGAGCTGCCACTAAACATCTGAACTGGGATTCACAGCGCCCTGTGCAGCCCTGCCGAGAGCCCAGCGGTAAAGCATAGAGCTGTCTCCGGCCATGCTGGGGCCCTGGGGCTGCTCTCTCCATAAGTGTACAGGGCAGAGCTTCCCAGACTCTGCCATGTGGACAGAGTCAGAACGTTGTTGATCTCTGTGCTTGTTGAATGTGTCCTCGTTGTTGTGGTCATTCCCACCCCCAGGGTCTGAGCTCTGAGACCCAAAATTCATCTGCGAGGACTTTAGCCCCCAGATTTCTATGTTGATAGTCTGTGGAGTTGGGGCTTTGGGAGGTAGATGGGATAAACACAGTCACAAAGGAAGGACTCCCTGAGGCTGTTAGTGGCTTTATAGGAAGAGGAAGGTACAGGGGCCTGAGCTGGCGCACCTGCTGCCTGCATCAAGTTACCACAACCTTATGATGCAGGAAGAAGGCCCTGGAGGGAAGCCAGCATCCTGCTCATGGACATTCCAGCCTTCAGAATCATCAGCCCAATAAACCAGCTTCAGTGACCAAAGAAGGCTGTAGCCAAGCAGCTCCTGAGTCTCGGGCATTTTGTTACAGCAACAGAAAACAAACTGACACTCCCCCAGGTGCCTGGTACCTCTGACTGAACAGCCAAGAGCTGACATTCATGGACACAGTTCTATTCCTCCTGGAGGAGAGACAGAGGACCTCAGACATGTCTCACCAAGGCAGATGAGCAATCCCAAGCAAGTGTTCCTAAACAAGGCCTCCGACTCGGTTCTGATGTTCCCTTTTGGCCCTTGCTGAGCCTATGGATGCTGGTCTCCTCTTGTGCTCATCTCTCTCCAGCTACCTCACAGTTTTGTAGCCCAGGTTAGGGGCACAGGCATTCAAAGACCACAGAGTCCTCAGGTTCAGACCATCAAGCAAGACCATCTGCTGCAAGTACCCATGATTCCTCACTACAACTGGCAAGGTAGCTCAGTGGCAGAGAAGTTGCCTAGCACGTGTAAGGGCCCCTGAGTTCTCAGAGATAAAAATAAAGAAAAGTAAGCTTACAACCTTTGTGTGTTGCTGGGCAGGACTACAAGATTGTGTAACCACTGTGACGTTTCATACGGAGGTGCTTTTCACTGCTGTCATTAGCACCTTGACCAAAAGCAGAGTGGGGAGGGAGGAGTTTATTTTAGCGTACAATTCTTAGTCCATGATGAAGGGAGAATAGGGTGGAAACTCAAGCAGAGGCCACGGAGACTCCTCTGGCTTCCATATACCACCCAGGACTTCCTGCCTAGGGGTTGGTACCACCCAAAGTGGGCTGGTTCCTCCCACATCAATTGTCAGTCAAGAAAATGCCTACAGGTAATCTGATGTAGGCATCTTCTCAATTAAGGTCCCCTCTTCCCAGATGGAACTTCTAGACTCATGGTCCAAACAAGAAAACCACCCTCCAGGATCATGGCACTCCCAGGACAGGTGTGATGGGAAACAGAGTGGTTCCTATTGGCCACTCAGAATGCTATGTTACGAAGGCTTCTCACTGACACAATGAGGCACAACCCTGTGCTCCCTCCCCTGCTCTAGGTGAGGAATCCCTGAGTCATTTGCTCATGTCTCCAGAAGTGCATGCCTGGTGTTTTCTTCCTCCTCCAGTGCCAAAACATTACCACAGAACCCGAGAGAAAACAAGGTGCTGGAAGAAATAGTTCCCAGGGATCAATGACACAAAGCCACTTGGGGAAGATGGGATTTCAGGAGGGTTCCAGGTACCAGCCTTCCTAGGTGGGCATATGCCTCCCTGCTCTCTGCCTCTGTGGACACAGCAAGCTCCTCCTCTAGGATCTGGGAGGAACAGATTTGAGATACAGTCACTGCTGCCACAGGACAGTTATGGGAGGCAGATACTCAGGAGGGGGCCAGACATCAGGCTTGCCTGGATCCAGGTTTGCCTCTGGGGCAGCATCCTCCACTGGGTCTGGTCCTCAAGCTTTTCTTTGGTGCTGACTACATGAAATTGAGGACATGACTGCTCTTGGGTACAGTTGAGGGGAAGGGTTTTTTTTATTATTATTATTGTAGATATGAGGGAGAGAACAGTCAGAGGCATCTGGAAGGGTCCAGACGGAATATGGTCAGCATAATAGACTGGACCATGAGAGGGGGAGAGAGGAGTAAAAGGGGAAGAGAAAAGAGAGGGAGACAAAAGATGACTGAGAGAGAGAGAGAGAGAAAGAGAGAGAGAGAGAGAGAGAGAGAGAGAGAGGGAGAAGAGGAGGAGGAGGAGGAGGAGGAGGAGGAAGAGGCAGAGGAGGAGGAGGAGGAGGAGGAGGAGGAGGAGGAGGAGGAGGAGGACACACAACACCAAGGGGAAGAGGACCAAGAGAAGAACCAAGAGAATCCATGGCCAAAATGGTTAGCTTACATAGGAATGAGAAGTCTGAGAGGAGCTAGGCACTTTGGATGCTGGGAGATACTGATGCAAATGTCAGGTCTGATAATGCTAATGGGCACCTCAGCCATTTGTCCTTTGAGACCTCACACTGATGACAGTTTTGCAAACACCTCAGACCTTTTGGGAAGGTTCTGGCTAGACGGAGGCCAGTGGGTTAACAGGCTAGAAAGGATGAGGGCCCAATGAGGTAAGAACAAGGGGTTTTCCTGCCCTCTGCTCAGCTCTCCTGGGAACAGGGCAAGAGGTTAGGATTCCCACGGGTGAGGGGAACATCGGTAAGCTGTTCAGCCAGGAGAGACTAAAAGTACTACCCCAAGTCTTGATTTATGAACCTGGGACAAACCAGGGGCGAGCATGTTGGAAGACTAAGAGACCCTGAGATGGCTAGTGTTCTTGAATGCCCTTCAAAACACACAAACTGGGAAAGGCAGGGCAGGAACCGGTGAAGTCCTTGCAGGGGTGACGTGTAGTAACAACAGTACATGGCTGGCCCCCTCGTGCCCTCTCTCAGGCCAGACTCCACCACCCGCCTCTGCCCAGGGAGTCTTCCTCCGTTGAGGAATCAATTCTGATGAATTCTGAATCAATTTTGATTAATCACCGGCCCAGTGCTAGTTTCTCTCTCACACAGGAAGCCACGAGGAAGGGAGACACAGTCTAGCTCCAAACTGCCACTTTCCTAGCCTTTGGAGCCTAGTCTGTCCCCTCTCCCGCCTGCCCTCATCTTACTTTCTGATGAGGTGTGAGGAAGCACAAACAGGAGTCACACACATGCCATTTCCACGCTCTCCACACTCCGTCTCCCTTTTAATGGGTCCTGCTTCCGGCAGGCACTCTCAGGGTCAGTCCCAAGGTCCCAGCCGTCCTGTGTCCTATCTGTTGTCTGGGAGCAGCTTGGGGACAGACAGGGTGGGCCAACTGGCAGACAGCAAGCGAATGGGCAAAGTGCCCAGTCCTCCAAGGGCCCCACCTATCAACCCTGAGTAGGCGCTGGGTCCTTCCGCTGCCCGTGTCTAAAGCACCCGTCCTATCCAGCTGTCCCAGGGCACTGCTGAACCAGAGTGGTGAGGTACTGTTCAAGGTGGCCCTTAAAGCAGGAGGCACAGGGACCATGAGTCGCGTTTTCTTGCTTTAACTTTCCAACCTGCTGAATATTTTGAGATTTTTTTTTTTTTGCTGTAACAAAAGTAAGTGCCGTTCAACTGACCAACAGTTTCCTAGAGCCAGGCATTCTTGCAGCTGGCCCTCTCAGGGATGAAGGGTCAAGGGGCAGCCGCTAACTGGCTGCACATCGAGTGCCCGGCATAGCAGAGTGATCAGTCTAGGGCCAACAGCCCCAGAGCCCCACGCCGAAAATCCCGCGGCTCTATTCCACCCTACTGCATCCGAAGGGGGCACTGTGCACCCACGGGGCACCGTACCCACCCTGAAGCCCCGGGTAGAGGTCCCCGAAGCAGTCTCAGTCCTCTGGGCGGTGGGCTACAGCAGTGTTGTCCGTGCCCGGCAGGGGGCGCTAGCATCCTCGGGCGGCCGCTGAGGCCGGCCCCTGACGTCACCGCCCGCGGTCGCCATGGCGACGGCCTCACCAGCGCGCGCGTCAGAGCCTCCAGTCTCTTGGCAACCGCCCGATCTCCGCTCCCCCTCGGCAAGGCACCGGGCCGCGCGTCGCTCTGGCGTCAAAACGACGTC